GGCTATAATGAGGTGAAGCAGCCAAGAAATGCACGTGCCTGCTTCTCTCTTATGAAGAACTCGTCCATTCTGGACCAAAGTCCCCGAGAGAAGCATCTATCACATTTGCCTTCAAAATCTTTCTGCTTGTATTGTTGAGACGATATTGATGAAGAGCAGGCAGTGGGCTCTGTGGTGTTTAAGGGTACCTTTCCACTTCCCTCAGAGGCCATAGAGTCTTCTAGACATGATGGCTCTACTTTTGAAAGTTAGTGAAAAGTCCACAAGTATCATGTAAAGCAAACCTGATCAAGTCACGGCTGATAGCTCAAATATTTTGACCCAAGAGAAGCCAGCCGTAGGACTAGAAGCCCTGTGAGAGGGACGTATTGAAAAAGATCTCTTCCCAGAGAAATGCATGGAATATCCAGAGAGTGACTAAGAAAGACTGGAAATGGGAATTCTGTAACAGACTAACATTGAGAAACTAGAGAAAAAGTTGACTGGAGGATTGAGGGGGCTGCAAACTGGAAGCAGTGTGGGCTGCAGAAGCCTGAATGATCGATGAGCTGGTAGAAACAGAAGGTGCCTCCCCGAGAGCAGTCACCCATTCCAAGCATCAGCCCTGTCCTTCTAGATAAGGTGCAGAGGATGCTCCCTGCAGCCCTTCCTCTCTTCCCAAATGCGTGCCTCCTCACATGCTTCCTTGCTTCTGGAGCATTTCACATCCTCTTTCTGTCTTTTCTCCTGCTCCTACATTTCAGAGCTGTTTCTCTCTCTCCGCTTAACCTGGTCTCTTCCCGGTTCTTACCGTGGGGAAGAAATAAACATCTCTGTGTCCTTTCTACCTTCTTCTCTATTCCTGTGCTCTTAGGTGTCCACGCTCTGATTGTATAGTGTCAAGATACAGCCTCTGTTTGTCCTCAGAGGTGCAGGTGAGCCTGTGGGACAGGACAAGTTGCATTTGAACACTTGGTACCTTGACCCCTGAACAGTTTATGCAGCATCGCACTTTGGCTGTAAGAACCAGGTGTGCATGTCCCCAAAATGGCAGCACTTGGGAGGCTGAGGCAGGAGGATTCCCATGAGGTTGAGGCCATCCTGAGATACATAGTGAGTTCAAGCCAACTTCAAATTACGGAGTGATACACTGTTTCAAAAGAAAAAAGAAAAAAAAAAAAAAAAAAACTTGAACCAGGTATGGCAGGGAAAGCCTATAATCCCATTACTCAGAAGGCTGAGGATCACTGCAAGTTTCAGGCCAGCCTGGCCTACCCAGTGAACCGAGCCAGCCTGAACTACACAGCAAGAATCTGTCTCAAAAACCAAACAAGAAAAATGAAAGAAAAACAATCTTTGCTTGAACAGAGTAAGGAAGAAAAGCTTAGCATGAAAAATCATCGCGTGAGTAAGTAGGAGAAAAGTAGAGTAGCATAGAGACAAAGAATCACTCTCCTAAACTCCATGACCACCCAAGTACAAAGAGTATTTAGCACAGAGCCGGTGGTCACTCAACAGCTGGGAGGAAATTGTACAAGGATCTCACTGAGGTGAAAAATATATGTCTCGAAGCCCGGAGCTGAGGTAATGAAGCATGAGGAGCGGAACTGTCTTGCTAAAAAAAAACATATAACTACCCCTGAGGGCAGGTGTTCTTTACTATCCAGAACCTAACCTCAATTGTACATGTTCTGTGGTTCTGGATTCAGCCCTCACCACCACACATGGTTTTCTCATTATTTGAGACCCCTCTAGAAAACTTAGGAAATCATCTAAACTGCATGAATGGGAAGCATGGAATTTACTCACTAAGATGAGTAAACAATCCAGTTGAGGGCTAGTTTCACCATTCAGTGGCGTCCAATTTGCCCTTCACCTACTTCTGTCACTTTGTGTGTGTGTGTGTGCGCGTGCGTGTGTGTATAGGAACTACTAGATACTCCACGTTCATCTTATGTAATCTTAGCCTCAGCCTTGGAATCAGTCATTTTTCCAGTTATCAGTTTTTTTTTCTGTATGGCAGTGAGGCTCATTCTGGCCATAGATGGCTTGATTTAACCCTACGAATGCACATGCCTTTCACCTTCTTAAAGAGTTGGTCACAAATTAAAGGAAACACTATTTTCTTGATACTGAGAATTGAACTCAGGACCTTGTGCTTGCCAGTCAAATGGTTATGGTACCAAGCCAGATCCCTGACCAGTCAGAAATTAAAAAAATAACAACAACAACAACAACAGCAACAAAACAGGAAGACAGTGGAACACATAGAGCAAAGATTTCCAATAATGGCTAATATACTCACTATTTCGCCCTCTCCAGTAGAGTTTTGTGTCGACTGGACTGTGGCAAAGACATAGAGAAAAAGAAATAATTGGTAGTTTTGTGTCTAATTTGCATTTCATCACATACCGGGTGGGACTTGTAGGATTTGCTGTACTTCCCTCATTACAGAGCTAAATCTTGGGGCTAGGGACATAGCTCAGCAGTGTGAGTGCCTGCCTGGAAAGCGCTAGGTCATCAGTTCCATTCCCTGCAAAAAAAAAAAAAAAAAAAAAAAAAAAAAAAAAAAAAAAAAAAAAGAGCCAGGCATGGTGGTGCACTCCTGTAACCCCAACAGCACTGGGAAAGTTGAGGCAGGTGGATCGTTTCAATTTCCGGAACAGCTTGGGCTCAAAGTGAGCTCATGGCCAGCCTGAACTGCATAGTGAGAAGTTGTCTTTAAAAAAAAATAGCAAGCTGGATCTCAGTGTCCCTTGCAGTGAGCTTACAGGGTGACTCTGGTGTTCCCGAGAGGAGCATTGTGAGATGCCGCTAGCATGTTTGGTTAATCAAAGACATTTCTAAGAGACAATTCCAGCATGGCAGTAACCAGCCCACAAGAGGGCCTGTTTGCGCAGGCGCCATGAGCCTGGAAAAGCACCCTCTGGGTGTAAAGGGGCGGAGCTTCCTTTGGCGCCTCCTTCAGTCTAGGAAGCAAACGCGTGGGAGTCTTGGTGGCTGATGTGGTAGATTCTGTGGTAGATTCTGTGGTAAATTCTGTGGTAGATTCTGCATGACAACACAGCCATGCAGGCCTCTGACAGAGATTCAGGACAGGAAGATGACCAGGATGACTCCGGAAACTTTGAAGACCAGGACAGCTTTACTGCTGCGGTCATTGACATGGGCATCGACTTAGGAACCATCGCGCAAGTGGTGGCGATACCTCAGGGCGCTGGGTCCGGTGGGCAGGCTATGCTCATGATCTGCAGGACCAGGCTGTACCTGCATGAATTGTATCCTTTGGGATGTGGCTGTGTGGCCAGGGCCCTCGGGGACACCAGGCCGATGTCAAGGTTGAGGCAGGAAGACATTCAGACAGGAGAGTGGCTTGGGGATGGAGAGGAGATGCCTAAGCCAGAGGGGGCAGGAGGCATGAATGACAGGATACCCAAGAACACCAGATAGGAGCAAACAGCCCCAAAGGGAGAGAGACATCACCTGTGCTGAAGAGAGAGTGGAGGAGCTGTGGCCTTAAGGTTACACCACCAAGGGGGGCACGGAGGCCGATCCCTGAAGTGCCGGGGGGGGGGGGGCGGTGGCTAGGGACAGCCTGAGAGAACCTAGGGCAGCCAGCTGGAAAGTCCAGGAGGCCGCCACATCCAGGCAGTACAGGACTGTGCCTTAACTCTTTCCCCATCAGCATCTTCAGGGTGCCTTTCCCGTCTTCCAGGGAGGCAGAGTTTGCTCTAACGTCCCTCTCCCCATTTGAGGGCTATCCTGAGATTTACAGGGAGCTCACAGTGAATGGACGCTTCATGATTGTGTCAGTCCTACAAGGAGCTGGGGCTCTAGGGATTGTGGCCACAAGTGCTCAGAGCTGAATTTTAATGGAGATGGGAGGCTCTGCAGAGTTATGTCTAAGTGCAATGTGTGGGGACTCTTTCCACTGATTTGATGTTCATTCTCTCTCACTTTTAGGAGATGGACTGCTCCAGACCCTAGCTGCCTGCAGGCAGTGTTTGCTGCCTTCATCCAAGACCTTTACTTCATCTTCTAGGTCATGCAGCTCTTGAGAACCCTGTCTACCTGCGTGTCTGGGTAGGAAAAGGGGGCTGAAACCCACGTGTCCCTTGTCAGACTAGGCATTATTCCCTACAGCTTGTTTATGAGATTAAGGGACACATTCTTCTTAGACCCCATTTTCTTGCCTTTAATGGTTATTGAGGTCTCATGCCTGCTTGTTTTGTTTCACTGTTGCTGGTGGAGAGACATGATGAAATGTTTGTCACTGCAGAAAATAAAGCTGAGCAATGATGCCAAGCTTGAGTTTCTTTTCAGGTACAACATTTCCTTATTTTCTAGCTTTTGCTGTCTGGAGACAGAGGGCAACATCTCATGGAGCACATATATTTACAGGTTAACAGATGTGGAGTTAATACATTGAACAAAAGTTAGATATAAATAACAAAGTTGACACAGGCCTTCGGATCTAGTGGGCAGGAGGTGAGGAGGGCAGAATTATTGTGCTGCCAGAGTGGGGGTTTTGGTCTTGTCAGCTCCTCCTCCTGCAAGGTCCCAAGCAAGGCACTGAGAAAGGAGGCTCAAGTGTGACTGAAGGGCCCGTGGCTCAGTGACCATCCCTAGTGGCCTGCTCTGTGACACCCCACAGGAGGTGAGCTCCCTGGGTCCCCGACTGGACACAGCCACTACCCTTGGTGGGAGGACTCTGGAGCCCGCTCCTTTCTGAGTCTGTCACCCTCAGCTGATACTATTCTGCCCCAACTTGCACTCCCAATGAGGCATCTCTGACCAGGGCAGTGAGAAGCTAGGACAGAAGGGTCCCCTGGAGCTGGACTCGGAGGAACCATTTCCTCCAGCACCAAGCTCCCAGTACCCAGCTGGGATCTCATTTCCTACATTCCTCACATCATCCGTCTCACCAAAAGGCCCTCTGACACTCATGACTCCATTCTTTCACATCTGAAAAAAGTTTTAAAAACTTGTTTATCCAAACAGCAATCCCAATGACAGACATATAAAAAGGAATAATGGTATTTATTGGGGAATAGAATAGTACTGCAACAGGAATGTGCATGCCATGACACATTATGAGTGCAGCTGAGGAGGTTGAAGCCAAGGAAAGTTTTTAGGGCAAAAATGGGGAGGACCACATAAAAAAGTGGGGTTTTCTTGAGAAGAGTTCTCACCATGTAGTGCAGGTTGGTCTTGATCTCATGGCAATCTTCCTGCCTCAGCCTCCTGAGTACTGGGATTACAGGTGTACACGGCCCTGCCTGGTACTCATCAGATATTCTGAGACACAGTAATCCTTGGCCACAAAGCTGGATCACAATGGGACACATGTTTGATACCTTGCACATTGTCCTTCATGTAGGCTAAATGATCCTGTGAGGAAATAACCTGAAACCAACAGTAAGGAAAAGTGGAACTGAAGGAGAATGGGTGGGGAGGAAACTTGGAGAGGCAGAGGCAGGTGGTTTCTTTGGAAAGGCTACGAGGAAGCCTCAGAGAACTCTCCGCCACGGTGATATTCTAGAGGGCCCAAAGGGCCTCCCAAGTCTTCCAAATTATTTTAGAAATGTCCATCACAACTGTGAGGAAGCCTCTCTTGGCTAATTTGTGTTTCTCTATTCACAGCAGAGGCATGATGACGTTAGGGCCCCAGGCAGCCCTGCAATGTAGCAACTTTCAGACTTCCTCTGAGTCAGGTGTCCCTGGGATCTCCAGAATCTGCATGAACTTAGTGATCGCAAGGGCAGGGTCACAGAATGGCTGGCAGGTTCCTTCTGGGCCTACAGGCAATAACTTCATGGTAGGATCCGCTGGTTCCCAGGCTCAAGGCTACCCAGACCTTTAGAAGTGACATTTCTCTGTCTTTGTCTTTGTCTCTGTGTCTCTCTCTCTGTGTCTCGGTCTGTCTCTGTCTCTCTGTCTCTGTCTCTCTCTCTCTCTCTATTTTACAGGGAATTGAACTCACAGCCTTGCGCTTGTCAGGCAGGCGCTGTACGACTGAGCTGTGTCCCCAACAGGAGTGACATTCTTCATTCATGTTTGGCAGAAGTAGACAAGTGATGCCTGATGCCACTAGATAACAAATAAAAGCACTGTAAATGCAATGACTGTAAGGTTAGATGCACAATCGAATGATCTGCAAAACTAATTTCTCTAAAAATGAATAATGAATCTTCATCATGTTATGTGAGATGTAAAAGATAACAATTTTCCTAAAATATTTATGTAACTATTGAGTGATTCTCCTGAATCAGGCACTGCATATAATCCTTTCTGTAGGCATGTAATGCTTAAAATCAGCACATCAGGCTGTCATGCTTCCCCTTTCAGATGACAGAATCAAAGGACAAAGACCACAGTGAGTAGAATAAAAAAATGCCATGTGCAGGATGCAACAAGGTGAGCTCAGATTAGCAATTCAGCAAGGATGACAAACAGGATAGGCAATCAGAGGAGGGGCGAGGAAAGAAAAAGGGGATTAAGAAGGAAAAAACTATATTACGTGCATGTACACAATCTCCAAGATGATTAGAAACTGCATGTACTGCAAACATGCTACTAAAGCAAAAGTGGTAAACTATGCACATGTTAGAAAATAATCAGATACGGTTTTATATGTATGAAAGCGAGTTTCTGTGTTTTCATTGAAGTTTGAAAATTTTTATGACAAGGTCTGTCAGTGCAGTTCAGGCAGGTTTGAACTCACTGTGTAGCCCAAACTGGCCTTAAATTCATGGCCATCTTCCTGTCCCAGCTATCCTAGTGCTGGGATTACAGGCATGTTTCATGATGCCCAGCTGGATTTTTCTTTATTACATAAATGCACCTAATTTAGTATTGTCTACAGGTGAAGCAGAGAAAAAGCAATGATTAATATACATAAATCAGGATGTTTACTGTCAGGTGAAGACAAGATGTAAACCATGTGTTGTCAGAGAATTCTGATATTATACGTTTTTCCAAAATTTTTTTCAATTTTAATGAATTATGAAAAAAATTTAAAACTTATTAGCTAGGCATGACAATGTCTGTCTATACTCCTAGCATTCTGAAAGGCTGAGACAGGAGGTTTTCAAGTTATAGCTTAAGTTAATTTTCTCATTGCTGAGAAAATACCCAACATCTACAAGTTAAAGGTGCAAGGATTTATTTAGCTCACAGTTTGGGAAGGTTTCAGTCCATAGTCGGCAGGCTCTGAGACAGGATGACATGGCAGAGGGGCTCTGAAGTTGAGGAAGGGTCCATGGCGTGGCAGAGCAGGTAGAAGAAAGCAAGCCACCAGCACCAGCATTACCAGCAGCAGAAAGATCCCTTTTATCCTTCCAGGCTACCAGCCTTTTGGGTGGTGCCATCCACGCACAGGATGGGGCATTCTTAGTCCCAGTATCACACACCCTAATACAGCCACCTTCAAATCTCCCCACCTAGGATCACGTGAGGATTTGGAGGAACATGTAGCAAAAGACATAACAGAGCTCAAGCTGGGTAACTTAGCAATTAGAAGACCATGTCTCAAAACTCAAAGAACTAATAGGTGGCTGGAGATGTAGCTCAGTGCAAAGGATCAGGATTAAATCCTCAGTTCCACACACAAAAAATGGAAACATCATACAGTGTGAGTATTAAATTAAAACAGTATCGTCAAATATTGTTTTATTGATTTTACAACCTTCCTTTATTTACTCTTGGAATATCTTGGAGTATATCACCAGACACGTCAATTTACCTCCATGAAGTGCCATCAAGTTACTGCATGAACAGCCTACTGGTGTAAAAAGGAACCCATTCCTTTAATACTCTTCACTGGGACTAGTTCCCCACTGGTCTAGGAATAGGGAAGTGAAGAAAGAAGACTGAAATCTATTAGTGATTCACACTCCCATTTTAAGGGAGCTTGTCTAGAACTGTCTCTCCTAGCCTCGGAAGTTATATTTAAGGGGCGCTTCCACACCAACTTCTTAGAATAGGACTCAGGAAAACAACGTTAACTGCATTTAGTTGCCAATAACTGCTTTTGGTCTAATCTCCACTTATCGCTTTTGTTCTTACCACATTTATTCTTGATTGCCAGATTCTGAATTTGATTTTGATGCCTATTTTCCCCTGTCTATATTGGAAACTAGTCAGACTACATTCTGTAATTTAAGGTAAGATTGGTTTTTCCTCAACTGCTTCCTTCGTCCAGTATCATGAATTCCTCCTCTCAGAGAATGATTTGATGGCCGTGCCTGGTGGTACATGCCTGAATCCTAGCACTTGGGAGGCTGAGGCAGGAGGACTGACAAGACGTTGAGGCCAGGTAGAGCTACATAGTGAGTTACCAGCCTGAATGACAGATTGAGACCCTGTTGCAAAAACAAAACAATGAAAAGATTTGTTTATGGTCATAGGTACCATAAGTACGATATTTGCTCTTCAAGCATTTATCTTATTTTTCCTGTTTAATTCACAAAAATAGTGTGTACTCTTACTTAAAGTGAAATCAGTACAGTTACTTGAGCAGGCAATCTTATGAGGTATAGAAGCTTTGTTTGGTACTGGGGATTGAACTCAGGGCCTCACACTTGGCAGGCAGGCAATTACACTGCAGATCTAAATTCCTGGCTGGAGTTGAGCAGCATGTAGAAAGTTGTTTGACACTGAAAAGCAATTATGATAAATTCTGCTTTTGTTGTCCTTATTACTATTATTATTACTGGCTTTTTAGATGGTCTTGAACTCACTACACTGCCCAGGCTGGACTTGAACTCACGGTGTTCATCCTGCTTCAGCATCTGAAATGTTGGCATTCACGGTGCATACCACCACACCTGGCTGGTTGTCATTGTTTTCAGAAAAAGGGAAGCAGGCAGCAGAACCAGGGCTGAAGCCAGGGTCAATAAGTAGGCTTTTGTCTTCCTCCTGGAGGCAGCAGCTCGAGGACTTTCCATTTACAACACTTGAATCATCCTATGACAAGGGAATAGCTTGGGGCCAGGGTACGGCCTGGGACCCTGTGGAACAGACAACCTGCCACAGCTTGAGGCATGTCACCCACTGGTCTGAGCTTGGAAGTGTTCACCTAATAACCTTCCACCAAGAAGTTGAGGCCTGAGTATAGGCCTGCTTTCCAGAGAGGGAAACAGTGACACAGGGAGATGATGTAGTTTGCCCAAGGTTATAGGAAGTAAGCAGGAAAATGGGACTTCAGTGCAGGCAGTCCAACTCCAGAGCCCTCCCTGGAGCCCTGAGCTGGGCAGCTTCCAGGTAGCTGTCTGCAGGTAGACACGCCTGCAAAGTCTTAACTACACAAATGAAGCAAATACGTGTGTGATACTGACCCGCAGCTGCTCAGCAGCACACTCCTCCTACCTTAACCAGGACAAAACTTGATGGCCTGTTTGCTGGCCGGGAAGGCTAAAGCATCCTTCCTAGTGCTTATAACTTAAGAGAACACTGCCTACACCACACTCCCACCACAACGATGAGATCATGGGACAAGGTATGCTAAGGTTCTTCTGTTTCATCTGTTTGGAAACGGATTCTCCCCTGGTTGCGGCAGAGGCTGGCCGTGTGCTAGAGCGCAAGCCACTGCCGGCTGAGCTATTCCAACCCGCAAACTGAAGACAGTGATAACTTCTCCTCCTGTCTTTCTGTCTGGAAGGAATTTGACACAAGGTCTGATTTTTATGTAAAACAAACACATTTAGAGAAAAATTGTGACTTCAAAGATAACGATGGTTCAGTTGGATGAAGAATAAATTGTCTATGAAGAGGCAGGTATAATTTTCACATCACTTAACGCCTTGCTACCTTCGTCGATGTTTTACACATCACCATGCCTTGCTGCTTTCGCTGGACACGTCCCTCGTTCACGAGACTCCACTGATGAGACCCCAGCGCAGTCAGGGAGCTGTGTGCTCTGACTAGGGAACTGGGTACTGTGTGGGCTGATGTAACTTACAGACTGGAATCACTTTATTCTGAGGTCCATGTCCTTGTCATTAACCTGCCAACACAAAGCACAGGCCATAAAAACACATCAGAGAAGTCAAGAAAGTGGAAGAATCCATACAGTGCAAAATCAAGTCAGGAGAACAATGTGCTGTTCATCTTTCACCCTACCGTCTCCCATTTTGTTTTCCTTTTTCCTCTCCCTCTGCAGTCTGCTTCTCTTCTTTCATCCCTCCCTCTCCCTCTTCCTTGCCTGCTTCCTTTCAGACCTCACACATTGGTCGTGAGTCATTCCTGAACTCAGTTTCCGGCCTAGAGGCAAGTCTATGGGAATGGCCTGTGAGCTGTGTTCTACTGATCAGTGAGGTTGATCCCCATGGCATCAGGGACTGCCTGCATTGACAAGCTGTGGTTCTGGGTTTTCATCTTGGTATTCAGCATCTGCCCTCCCTCCCTCCCTCCAGGGGAACACCACTCTGGAATAACGCTTCAGTGCAACGCAGGGCTCACTTTGGAAGCTGAAGAAGGGAGGTATCCCTGTCTTTCAGGCACTCCCTTTCCAGCTTCATAGCAGCCAGCCACTGGACAGAGACTTGGGAAGATTACTTGAATCTCTGCTTGGTGCTGTGAGCCTGGTGCAGGTGACACACAAATGAATGAAGGATGCTGAGAATCATTTCCCCCAAGCTGCAGTGGTGTACAGGTGGCACCATCCTGCAGGGGACGCTGTGTCTGCCTGTCAGTGTCCAGGGATGGCAGGCATCTGCGAAGACCGTTCTGGCTACACTGTGTGGCCTCACTGAGCCGGCTGCCCCCATCCATTTCCTATAGCTCCCTTCTAGATTTCCACTGATTCTTTGGCTTCCAATCTCCACACAGTACATTCTTCATTCTTTCAAAAAATAACCTGAGTTGGATGTAGGCATCATGTGACCCAACAGTTTCAACCTAAATGTGTACACCACAGAAATGAGCTCATGTATTCATCAAAACAAATATGTTAAAGTGTTCACGGCTGCACTGTCTATCACAAGCCCAACCTTGAAAGTGCCCAAATGCCCATGAGGAGGAAACAAACATTTAGGGACAATCACAGAACGAATTCCTATACAGCATGGGCAACAAGAGTCTGTAGCACCCCCTTCCCTAACAAGGGAACCCAAATTCATGGATGTGAGGTATGACAATTGAATATCACGCTGTTGCAAGTAGGGACCAAGTTACTCCTAAGGGCACAGTAACCCAAAGTGAGGCATGGCACGGCTTCTAGAAAGTTCTGTTCTTGACCATGGAGCCTGTCATCCATTGTGTTCAGACTGTGAAAATTCTCACAGCTGGACACTTTTGGTTTGGTTGCTCATCTGTATGTACATTTTACTTCAATACAAATTTGAGTTTTGTAGCTCCCAATAAACGAAAAACTAACTTCACTTTCTAATGCTTCTGCAGGAGAGCAACCAGAGTATATCCTCATCTAATACATTAAAGGGCAGATTAGGTGCAGGAGCATGAGCACCAGGTGAGTATACACTGGAAGACCGAGTATCACTTTCCGTGATTAAAACCACATGTGGATAATATAGACAACTTCAAAATTCATCCGTTTAGTAACAGAAACCGAAAAAATAAACGAAGGGGGTAGTAGATAGACATTGTGGCTCAAGGTTAAATTTGCCAGACAATTAATAACATAACAATGGCTGGATATTTACACAGGGCCATTCTGTTTTACCCATCTTAAATGGAACATGGTTGCTTCCCTGTCTAAAAACATATATGATGGGGAAAATAGGACTTAAAACTTCAAGTTAAACATGCAAACATGTTGAAAAATACGACAGTACTCTACAGAGGCTTCTTTCTCTTATTGCTAGCCACCACAGTTAAATACTTTTGGTTTGGTATGAAAATGGAAAACACATCTGCGATAGAACTCACTTCTATTGCTCCCAGATGTTCTCATAGTAGCCTTGAGTGTTTCCTTGGTGACTCCATCATAGGGAAGCGGTCTCAAGACTGTTCTTTCCAGCAGGCCCCTGAGAACATATAAGGACAGTCATCAGGAGGAATAAGTCTTTCAGAACCATAGGTCACTTGATACATTTCAGTCTTCTCCACTTCTTGAATTTGGTCTCTTAACACCTGTGCCATCGTGGCTCAGCCTGTTCTGCAGGCCTACTCTCTCCATGCAAATTCTTCTATATTCAAGAACTCAGAACCTGAGTTTAAATTCTCTGACCATAGACTTGGGTCTTCACACTTTTGATATCTCTTCAGTCCCATGGACCTTATCGTGCATTTATTCTGATTCCCCATTCCTTGCAAACGCCTTATTTTTCCAATTCAGCACTTTTGATCTGGCTTCATGTGGCTCCCTCTTTGATTAAAAAAAGCAATGGCTCACTTTGGGGAAAGGGGATCATCATCATATAGACTGCTTAACAGCATCGTATTTTTAAGAATTTCTGCTATTGCTGTGTAACAAATGTTTGGCTTGGACTCTTCTCACAGATAATCCTGACTGTGTTCCTAAACTGGCAGGATGTTACCAAACCTGTTTACATAGTGAATATCAACGGAGTACCACATTAACCAACAATATTTAATATGTGAATGGGAGAAATTTACAAACAGAAGACAATATTGTAAAACCTGTTGAAAGCCACACTGTCCCTGGGAAAATGATGTCAGACTGACACTGACACTGGAGGGTGTCTTTAAATTACAGGTAGTGGGAGAAAGACTGAGTCACAAATTGCAAGGACGTACACAGGCATGAAATATTTTTAAATTTTGGGGTGTGGTGTGGTGAAGCCTCCGGTCAGCTGAAGAGAGTCACATCCACTGAGAGAGAAGTCCAATTGCTCTCCCACCAATTTAAGTTCTGTTATTCGCATAGCTCATTTTGCTTCTCACTGATCTGCATGACCTTTCCTATACATCAGATTTCCACATGTTTCTGGTCTTTGTCCCCTTCTATTGATACACTTACACTGAAAACAAACTTTAGCTTTCGGGACTATTTTCCCTGTGATAAAAATGATTATATTAAATTGATTTGGACATACTGAGGCTTAAATACGACTGCTGGAGACAGCAATCATGGACTTTGAAGCTCAACATAAAATAGGAGCTTCAGGAGAGGCCGGGCTAGGAGCTGAGCAGCTTGGCTGTGGTAGCAGCTGCAGTGGCAGCAGGGATGGCAGGGCTGCCACATGGCAGGCCTAAGGTGCTTTAGACTTTCTGCACAGGGTCCAGCAAATTGTTACCCAATCTGATTCAAGTCTTCCCTAGAATACTTCTACAGCTGTAGTGGACCAGTCAGTGTATGGATATGGAGTACAGAAGAGGGGGCTGGATGATGGAGTAGGTAACCAGTCAGGGGCTCTGGCACATCAAAGGGCAGTCACAACAAAAAAAATCCAAAGTGCCTGATAAAATGGTTGCAAAGCAGGCAGGAACCTCTGGAGCATCAATCAGCAGTCAGGAGTTTCCCAAGGTGCTTCACAGGAACCCAGCCCCAAAAGGGAGCCCAGCCTGAGGACAGTCACCATTAGGGGCATCCCGCAGCAGACTGAGGTGGTGAGACATCTCATACACAAGCAAATTGGTGAAATCGGCCTCCGTGGCCCCCAAGCCTTTGGGCAGAGCCCCTTCAGCCATCTGCCCTGCCACCCCAACACCACCCTGAGTGACCCAGGGGAAGCAGCCGCACAGCAGGTCCCGACCCACCAGAGCCAACTTCAGAACAGCTAGCCAGACCGCAGGGGAGCCTTGGAAAATTAGAACAAAAGCAGACTCACCCAGATCATGTGGCCAGCGCTGCTCCTTGGGCCAGCTCCCCGGCATACTAACACTGCCTGCCCTGAAGTGCCCAAAGAAACTTCCGTGGGAGGAAATTCGCGCAGGCGCAGTGCAGGCTCGCGGCCCAGAGCAGTGAAGCCCCGCCCTGCTGCTGCTGCTTCTGGAAATCAGAAGGAACACCTGTGTGTAACAGGGGGTTTTAGATTTGCAAACCTTCTGAGGAAGAACCTTTATTTGTTCTGTAAAACGTTACGCTTAGAGTCTGACTTTCCCTAACAGTTGGCAAAATTAGATACTAAGAATTGCTGATAATTTTTGTTTCCTTAATTTTGTTGGTTATTTCCAAAGTGTGAGCTCTGGGATTCTTTTTGGACAATACCTGTAAATTCAGGTGCCAGAATTTGCTTTGGAGCAGTGACATTTCAACTGGAGTTTTTCTGTTTGTTTGTTTTTTTTTTCCTTTTTTTTTTTTTTGGATTTGTTTCATGACTTTTCATTACATTTTTTTTTTTTTTTTTTTGGTTTGTGGATTTTTGTTTCTTTTTTTTTTCCTGCTGCAAAAGAAAGTGGCTTGGAATTTTTAGGTAGTATGTAAGCAAATCTTTAAAAAAATTTAAAACAGTATTTAAATAGTCTTGATTGTATAAAGTCTCTAAATGTCTTAGTTCTAAGTTCTTATATCTTGGATGTCTGGTTTTATTACCTTTATAAAATGAATTATTATGTGTTGATGTGTTGCTTTTATTTATTTATTTAGAAACAAGGTCTCACTACATAGTTTCCGATGGCCTTGAACTCACTGTGTTGCCTAGGCTGGCTTTGAATTTGCAGGGATCCTCCTGCTTCAGCTGCCTGGAATGTTGGGATTATAGGCATGCACCACCATGCTTGGCGAAATCTGAAATATTGTGTAAAGTAATTAATCACATGAACTCTGAATTGAGCAGATAACTGTACTGTTGATCAAAGGCATTGGGAAGGGAAGCTTTATACAACTTGTATAACTTCTAGAGTTTCAAGGAGGTAAAATAAAACAGTGTCAATGTGCTCAGCTTTTATTTTCATGTCTTCCTTCCTGCTTGCAATTGTATGTCTAAAACCTCCAAGCTGATTGTACAAACAAACAAACAAACAAAAAACCTGACATTCTGGATGGACATGGTGGCACACTGCTGTAATGCCAGCACTTGGGAGGCTGAGGCTGGAGGATCTAGCAAGTTCCAGACCAGCCTGAGCTACAAAGTGAACCCATGCCAGCCTGAACTGCAAAATGAGATCCTGTCTCAAAAAGACAACAAAGAACCAAACAACGCCCTCCATTTTCTCAGTAATATAAATACGGTTGTTTTTACTATTAAAGAGGAATTCAATATAAGTTTTAATAAACACTGTGGAATATTACACTGTATAAATGTAATTAATTTTTAATTCCAATATGTTTTTTGCCTATTTCTTTAAATTATTTTCCTAATATTTCTTCATTAACCAGGTGAATAAATAATTCTAGCATGGTCTCTAGTATGAATTAAATAATTTTGATTTAATAAAGAGATAATAAAATTTCTGATGCTACTGTAGTATATATTGAAGAGATAACTTGTATTTTAAAGGAGAAAAATGGAATTGCAGCTATTTGTCTTGTATTTTTAACTTACCTGAGAGTCATTCTATGTGAAGTGTACTGAAGCTCCGGCTTCTGGTGATTCCTCCTTAGTTTCTTTACAGTACTTGAAAGGTGTAAGGGGTAAAAAGGCAAGCGGAGAATGTTTGAAAAATAAAATCAGTAGCTTCACAAGTGTTGGTCATATTCCCTAACAACAGCATCATAAAAAGTCAACTACGTAGAAATTTAAGTCTAGCACTGGGTGGGAACGTCACTGAGCTTAATGTCCTTACACTGTGAAAAAACTATCCTCCAAGATTAAGGAGTTCACTCACCCTCACATATCAAATAGTAATAAAATCAGAAACCATATGAAATTTCCTAAAACTAAGGTTCTGTCCATGCTATTTCAGCTGGCTCTTTGTGAGAATCCAGTGAAAACAAGAATGAGAAGGAAAATAAAACTGGAAACCAGGAACGTTTGTTGGATTTTTTTTTTGTACAGGGAAGCACATTCCTAACCTTATTTTTGCCGGGCAGGTGCTAAATCATCAGCCTGTCATTGGGGACAATTGTCCTTTAAGCAGTCCATGAGTTTCTTCACATGAGTTTATTATATCTATCTAGAAATAACAGACAACAAAGCAAAACTACAGGCCTCTAGGAGCCCCAACTCTGCACAACCCAGGATCTCCCCGACTTTTTTTTTTTTTTTTTTTTTTTTTTTTTGCTTTTTATTTGTTTGTTTTTCTGTGTGTTTCTTTCTTTTGAGACAGGATGTTGCTATGCAATCCTGGCTGCCTTTGAGCTCACTTTGTAGCCCAGGCTGGTGTCAAACTCACAAGGATCCTCCTGCCTCGGTATCCCAAGTGCTGGGATTAGAGGTGTGTATTGTACCACCACGTCTGGCTAGTGCATAAACTTTAATGCTAGGATTAGTTCTTGTGCACTGAACAAGGAGCACCTTGCAGAGGTCCAGTATCTTCAGGGCCCCACCCAGAGCCCCTTGCTCTGGCTGTCCCTGACCCTAGCTAATGCTGCTCCACTTCCACCCCCATCCTTCTGTGTGGCCATCCCAGGTTATTTTCTTCGTAGCACAGAGTCACTAAATTGGATTGCACTATTTATGTGTTTACTTGTTTATCACCTGTCTTCTCCACCAGAGGTAAACTACATGAGAGCAGGAGCTTTGATTCAGTGTTATATGCAGTGCCCAGCACGGCGGCTAGCACTCAAGTGTTCAATAAATGACTTGTTGAATGAATGAAGAAAGCACGGAATGACAGATTGGGAACACATTCATGCCTAGAAAGTAAGTGATGCAAAAAGCAAGAGGATCCCTATGGGTTATTGCCCAGGATGGCAGAAACAGTGATGCCTTGGTTCATTTTTCCTACCACCAGGGCTCCTAAGGTCTCTGGACTAAACCACATTACAAAGGGAGGGCGAGAGGGGTAACTCTGAAGGGAGACAAGTTCACAGGCTGTTATCTTCTTCCTCCCTGCTTTGGACACTCAGATCTCCTCCTCCAACTAAAGTTAAAAATGTATAATGTTTCTACCAAAACATAAGTCTAACATAGCGGTGTTGTTGTGTCTGGGTGCCCCTCCAAAGCTGCAAACAGTAATGGATGTGGCTGAATCCAGCGGTTGTGATTGGTTCACTGTCTAGCTGGGATTGGCTGTGTGAGCGCTGCCCCCGCCCAGAGGCCAGTAACAAGCACAAACCTTAAGGAAAGGAAGGAGGCCGGCTTTTCCCGTTTTGGGTGGGGTTTATTTTATTTAACTTTACCCTTTTCCTCCTTGTTAATTGCGGCCATGAACGCTTGCCTCAGCCATGCCACCCTGCATTGGAGCCAGCTAAGTATCTACTGAAATCACCAAAAACTGTAAGTTAAATAAACCTTTCCTTCATTCATTTTGGGATCAGGTATTTTCAAGACACATAGAGAAAAAGCGTTTTGCAGAATGCACAAAATAAAAGTTTCAGAACGTGTATACATGCCAAAGATTTCTCTGATACATCAACTTAGCGGGCCCTATGTGTCACCCAAAATCTAAAATCAAATAGAATGCCTTCTCAGAAGGGATGGATATAGGTGGATGTGAAGATAAGTGGGTGCACAAATAACTGGACACAAGAAAAGCTTTGTCAGGGCTCAGTGATGTGGTTACTTTGGAAATGCCACACATGGTCCTAGTGGGAACTCTCCTTCTTCAAATTCACTGAGCAGGAGGGGATTAAGAAGCAGGGAGGGGTGTGAATTCTCTTGTTCTTTTAATATTAACTATTTAGCATGTGTCATGCCCTCTGCTAAGTGTTGAGATACATACCATGAGTCACCTCTGGAAAGAGTTTGTATTCATTTTTTTTATTATTAATCCTTTTGAGACAGTGTCTCACTATGCTCTTCAGGATGTCTTTATGCTCAATTTGTAGCCCAGGCTGGTCTCAAACTTGCAACAATCCTCCTGCCTCAGCCTCATGTATTTTTGAGGGCAGCTGGCAAAAGGCAGCTCAGAATGCTGGGATATAGTAACATTTCAGCTATGGAGACAGCCTGCCGGAATCCTGTGACTGGGATACAAGAGGCTATTTTGGACACACATTCAGGGTTCCTTCCATCAAAATCAAGTGATGCAACACACTTGACATGAATCAGTGAATCAAAAAACCTTACCAAAATCTTGTAAGAAGGAGCAATGTGCTGGTGAATGCTGTCAATCTTTACTGGGCCTGTGCAGCTACATACAGGGTTTCTCTCCAACTGGCACAGCTTTTATGTTTATTAACTGTTAAAGAATGTTTTATATGACTGATATTTTGGATAGTTTTTCTCCTTGGTGTGGACTCTGTTGGGTGCAGTGGCAGGAGCTCTGACTGAAGTCCTTCCCACACTTGTAGTATTTATAGAGCTCCTCTTTTGTGTAGACTCTTTGATGCACAGAGTACAAGAGATGAACCTAAAGTAATTCCACAGTGTTCCCATTTGAAGGGTTTTTCAACTATTAGCAAAAATAAAACACCAAAGTAAAAATAAATAAGTGTTGTGCGGGTTTATGTTTCCAGCTGAGAAACACGGAAAGTCTCTGAATGTCACTTTTGCTGTCCATCAGACTAGAAGAACAAGGCCAATAGAGGCCAAGGGAGATTTGATTTGAAATAATGCCTTTGTGTGGTCACAGAAACCAAGCCAAAGAGGGAAAACAATGTAAACTGTTGCATTCCTTGGCAAGGGAGCGAGGACACCCCACAGAAAGGGACAGGATCTAATAGAACCATAATGGAAGAATGAGGAGGGGGAGCAGGTTGGGCAGCATGTTGGAAGACATTATTCTCCTTTATATATCAGCAAACAGAGCTCATAGAATATAAATCAAAAAAGAAAGGAAAAGACAAAAAGAGATGAAGGCAGAGAAGAGATAGATAGACTTATAGAGCCCAGAAAGCGCTCAGATGTTAGGACATGAAGAAGGTTCAGAGTTTATATACCTGGTGCTTTCAGGTCAGAGGGTCAGAGAAGTGAGAGCCACAGAGGGAGAGAATCATGCCGTCCTCAGTGGGCCCCGTCTGAGGCTTCAGCAGAGCAGAGATGAAAGCAAGCAACGTGAGGAATCTGTGGGGCCTGGAAAAGCACCTGCCCTCAAGTGGATGCAGGGTACAGCAGCCCAGGTGTCCAGGAGAGAAGTTCCTAGCAGTCAAGGAAAATGGCAGGACTTGACATCCATCAAAAGAGAAACTACTAGAGATGCAAAGCAGCAAGAAAACACAATCCTTCAGTAGGAAAGAAATCAGTGAACAGATGGTATCCAGATTGGGAAGGAGGGGAAAATACCTGCCTTTGTTTACATATATGGCCATGAATGAAAAAAATCCAATAAATTTATAGGGCTTAGAAACAATTTGAGCTCAACAGGTTTCAGGACATAATATATTTTACAGAGCTACTAAGAAGCTTAATTCTTCCTGTTGAAGAGATTCCTCCTCTTTCTAAAGTATGTGCTTGAGAGAACTATAAGGGATATAAAAATGTCTCAAAGCTAAAAGAAAGAAAAAGGCTTCACACCACCCTTATAAGCAAGGATGGTGTTTTTTTTTCAGGAGCTAGGAACCATCTCTTTGAAATTAAATATAGACAGCAGCAAAGAGGATGATGCACTCCTTCATTTGCAGTGAGAGGGTAGAAGCCTAACTTCATTGGGCACCTCCATTTGGCTAAACTAGCTCTTGTCATCAAAGTTGTGTTATGCATATATAGCAATGCTCTCAAGGATGTGTGATTTGTGTGAGCACCCAAAGAGGGGATAAAAACCCATTGACTGATACATATATGGTGACCCAGTCACCACGTACACTGTGGAAACCATGTGTAATTTATCGAAGCTACTTTTTTCTTGTACATTTAACTGACCTGAGAGTTCTTCTGTAAGGGTACATTTATGCAGATTGCAAAGACATTGGTATAAAGCAGTAAACTTACAGACATGATGTAGCAAGTTAAAAAATCACATACTGGCACCTCCCTAAGCTGCTACTGCTTGTCAGGGAAGGACTCGGCTAAATTCAGTTAGCCTTTGACTGTCTCAGACCAGATTGTTGCTTCTGACAATGTGATTGGTCAGTTTGAATATTTCAAGCTTGTATTTTCCTTAGTTAGAAGAGTTTGTATTGTTTCTAGCTTACTTCATGGTCTTTGTATGTGACACAGTGGCTCAGTCTAGGACACCCTTAACTTTTCTTGCTCCACTTGAATCCTCTCCCCTCATACATTGTGGTAAACAATGCCTTTTAAGTAAATCTATTTACTTAAGTAAGTAAATCTATTACCTGACATTATGTGACTTAATACAATTCATTCAACCCATCCTGTAATAACCTGTCATATGCCTTGTACTTTATGCTTGTAAACTATATTTAAACTGAACACAAACCTAACTTGGGGCCTAGTGATTTGGATTCAGTGCTGGCAGCCTGCCAGCATAGTGAAGAAGTTGCCTTCTAGATTCCTTGGGAAAAAGAATCTTCCATTCAGTTTGATACTGCTTTTTTCCAATTCCATTTGAAATATACTGAGGATACAGTTTCTCATTTTTTCTCCTTATTTTCCTTAAAGTGCTTCAAATGTCTGTTTAAAAAAGGCAATGGAGATGTTAAAAATAATTAGTAGCTTCACTCAGTGGACACTTATGTTCAAAATCAAGATAGCACAGGAGAGAAGGTCTATAAATGTGTTGATTGTGATAATTCTTTTATCACTACAACAAAACATAATAAGCATAAGAAAATCTGCCCTGGAGACAATTTACACCTGCTATGAGTGTAAAAGTGACTTCAGTAATAGTTCAAAACTTTGTATATAGCAGAGGGTCCACAAATTATACATCAATGTCCTAACTAGCCCTGTAGTTATAAGGAGAGATTTCAGCTCTGAGATGTGCAATCATTATGTACTACAAATATCTATCAATAAAATTTAAAACTAAAAAATAAAAGATGTGCTTATTTTCATTTGTATAAATTAAGTTGTATTTAATCTGCTCGGGCAGCCATGAGTACCCTCGCTAGCTGGTTTGATCAAAACAAAGAGATTTCCTTCCTCACTGTTCTTGAGGGACCTACCTGTCCATGATGAAAGTGCTGGTGAATTCTTTCTGGGGAGGGTTCTGCTCCTTGCTTAGTCAGCCACTCACATGTCCTTGCCCTAGCACCTGTGTCCTGATGAGAGCGCAAGAGCCCCTATCTTTTCTTAAAAGGACAAAAATCATATTTGCATGATTACAAAACTCGGCCTCCTTTAGCATTCACTGCACCCTCTGAGATGAAATCTCTGCATATAACAATGGGACTGCTTAGGATTTCAATGTGTAGTATACACGAGGATACAGATAGCCCGTTACCTCAAGTGAATAATATACATATGGTCACCAGTCACTGTGTACCCAGCAGACAAACAATGTATGTGTGATGCTCAGGCAGCGATGACAAACCCCCCTGGTTGGCTGGCTAAAACAGGAGACTCATTTTCTCACTGTTCTAGAGGCAACTGTCCATGATGAAACAGTTGGTAAACTCTTTTTGTGAGTACTCTGGCCCTGGCTTATTTGCAGACAACTGGCATGGCCTTTCATTAGCACCTGTGCCGTGGGAGGGCCCCAGAGCCCCTGTCTTTTCTTAAAAGGGTACAATCTTTCAGCTTCAGACTACCAAACTCAGGGTCTTCTTTAGCCTTCCCTGCACCCTCAGAGATGAAATCTGTGCATATGACCATGTGACTGCACAGGACATCAATGTGTATTATACACAAGGACGCAGACAGCCCATTACATCGAGTGACTCATTCACATAGGGTCACCAGTCACCTTGTATACTGTAGACAAACCCTTTGTGAGTGATGGGCTGTCCAGCCTGTCCTTGCTGAGGATGGGTGTGAAGTGGGTGCATCTGCCTAGCTGCAGAAAAGGGGAAGACTGATTGCTGCCCGTGCAGTCTCCTAGTCTTCACTGCTGTGAAGCGCATCACACTCTTATTCAGGCACAACCTTGCTTCCTACCTTTGTGCAGATATGTTCCTGCTGAGTTGCGAGGTGATTTTCCCAGTATTTTCCCAACACTGCAGCCACTCCTACTCCAGAAATTCAACTGCTTCTCCCAACATTTTCTTCACTGGT